GTGATCCAGTTTCATTCTCTTACATGTAGCTGTCCAGTTTTGCCAGCACCATCTTAAGTAAGTGTTCTTAAGTGTTTGAAGTATATCCTTCTGTCTGTATGAGTTCCTGTAAAATGTGTTTTTTTTGGTTTTGTATGCATGCATTTTAAGTTTATATAAATCATATTGTAGTAAAGGGCTCATTCTGTTTCTTCACTTGGCACTACATTTAAACAAGTCTAATCATGTTGCTGAGTATATATCTAGACTGTTGCTTCTAACTGATGCCTAGCTGTCCATCCATTTAATCCACCTGCATCACAGAGGTGGACATACACTTTGCCCCCAACTCACTGATGCTACTAATAATGCTGTTACATATATCATCATACATCTTCCATATTGGTGAGAATTCTTTTGGGTTTCTATACTCAGCAGTAGAAATGCTGATCATTAAGTAACATATATGTCAGTTAGGTCCTATCAGGAAACCAAAAGCTAATCTAAGTATATAAAACTGAGGGACTTTAATGCAAAGAATAGGTTACAGAGGTGGTGGATGAGCAGCAGGAGAGCCCCTGTGATAACCACATCCACACCTCAGCAATTACTGTAACAGGAGCCTGCATCTGATGGAAGCTGGAATCACATTGGGACTGCCTAATGGGAGCTGAAAGACAAGAAGTATAGATACCCTTTTGGAGAGAGAAAGGGAGAAAGAGAAATACCCTGACTTTTTCTTTCTCCCACCCCCAGTCTCCTATCAGTACCTTCTGCTAGTTGAACCCATTTATAAATGCAGCCTGCACGTGCTAGGGCAGGGCAGGGACAGGTGAGGAGCAAACCAGAGGGCAGACAGCTGTAAGCCACCGTTCACTTGATCTGACTAAGTCCTGCTGGACTTCACTCTGTCATGAGCTCATCAGCCTCATCCAGCAGTGTGTCTCCACAGCCCATCTACTCTTTATGGCGTACCCTTCTCCAAAAAGGAGTGGTAGAGATCGCTCCCATTTTTCTTTGAATGTGTTTAGCTTATTGCAGAGGCCTCAGGCATCTCCCCAAATCTAGCAGCCTGATGGATCTCAGGGACCCAGCCATCCGTTGAACCATAACCTCTTAAGGGCAGCGACCTCATCAGTTTTATTTGTAAGCCCCGACCTGGCATTATGCTCAGTGCTACTGACTGAGTAATAAATGTTCTTGTTGATTATTGGTGTCATGCCTTACCCCTTATTACTATTATTTTGGCTTGGAGACTACACTGATGGCAGTTTTCAAGAAGGCACTTGTGACATTGTGGGGGAAAATCTCTGGGGAGGTCAGATGGGTGAGAGAGAGTTGGTATTCAGCCAGCAAGCACAATTTAAGACCATAATGGTTATCAAAACACTGTGTTGGTTGGTAAATTGACTCTGAGCAATCCCTAGTGACTATTGTGCCCTGTATGCCCTGGCCACTTCCTTGAAACTGTTGCTCCCTCCAAGATCAGCAACTGAAAGGGTATGCCTAGAATGGCTGCTGGGCTCCATGACTCCGATGCTATAACCTGCCTGGCCATTTCCCAGCTGGTTCTTGCATTGGCCTTACTGGTTGTTAAATATTCTAACTATCCTTCCCCTGGAGGAGTATCACAAAAGAAGTATAGGGGAAAGCCTGCAGACTTTTGGGGTCCTATGATTCCATTGTTTCTATGAGTGATGATGAGGGAGCATTTCTATGAGTGATGATGAGGGAGCGAATGCTCCAGGATTATTTTCCTGATGGAGAATGATGCACATGCTTCTGGCTTTCCTATTAGTGTTCATTAGTTCTCCTCATCCATGGGGGATACATTCCAAGACCCCCAGTGGATGCCTGAAACCCTACATATAGTATGTTTTTTTTCCTATACATACATATCTACGATAAAGTTTAATTTACAAATTCGGCACAGTAAAAGACTAACTACAAAATAATAATAAAATAGAGCAATTTAAACAATATACCATGTTTAAAGTTATGTGAATGTGGTTTCTCTCTCAAAATATTGTGATGATGTGAGATGATAAAACACCTACATGATGAGATAAAGTGAGGTGAATGACGTAGGCATTGTGATGCAGCCTTAGGCTGTTGCTGACTTTCTAACTATAGTCCAGAAGGAGGATCATCTGCTTCCAGCTGAGGATTGACCACAGGTAACTGGAACCAGGGGAAGCAAAACCTCAGATAAGGAGGGACTACTGTATACAGTACACAGTAAAATGCACAAGTCTGAAGGGTCAACTATGGCCTCAGAGGGTGAACGCTTTCCCAAATGTGCTGCTCCTTGAGTTTTCACATGTGGGCACACATGTGTCCACCACCCAGATCAAGACACAGAACATTTCCAGCCTCCCAGCTGGCTCCCTTATTACTCCTTCCCATCATTGTCCTCACGTAGCCACAGTTATGCCATCTATCACTATGAATTTGCCTGTTTAAAACATCATGTAAATAAAAGCATAGAGTATATGTTTTTCAAAGTGCAGCCTCTTTTGGTCAACATGAAAAATATCCTTCCTTTGGGGTTTGTTTGGCTATTTTCTCAATTTGTTAAGTTGGATCCTTAGCTTATTAATTTTCAACCTTTCTTCTTTTCCTTTTTTTTGCAATTTTAAACAATTGTGGTAAAATAACACATAAACCTTGCCAAAGTAACCATTTTTAAGTGTGAAATTCAATGTCATTAGTTACATTCACAATGTTGTACAACCAACACCACTCAATAATTCCCAAAAGTTTTATCACCCCAAATGGAAACTCTGTGCCCATGAAAGAATAATTTCCTGTTCTTCCTTCCCCCAAGTCCCTAGTAACCCGTAACTTACTCTATGTCTCAATGAATTTGCCTATTTTAGATATTTCTTATAAGTGGAGTCATGCAATATTTGTCCTTTTGCATTTGGTTTATTTCACTCACCATAATATTTTAACAGCTCATGCATGTTGTAGCATGTATCAGAATTTCATTTCTTTAATGGCTGAATAATATTCCATTTCACATATATATTATGTTTTGTTTATCCATTTGTCTATTGAGGGACACTCGAGTTGTTTTCACCATTGGTTATTGTGAATAATGCTGCAGTGAGCATTGGTATACAAACATCTGAGTCCCTATTTTCAATTCTTCTGGGTCCATACACAGGAGTGGAGTTGCTGGGTCACGTGGTAAGTCTATATTTAGCTTTTTGAGGACCACCAAGCAGTTTTCTCACAGCTCCTGCATCATTTTACATTCCATCAGTAATGCACAGGGTTTCAATACATGATTTGTTTTATTTATTTAGTATTACCATAGTTATCCTAGTTGGGGTGAAGTAGTATCTCATTGTGGTTTTGATTTGCATTCACTAATGACTAATGATATTGAACATTTTTTAATGTGCTTACTGACCATTTGTGTGTCCTCTTTGGATACATGTCTATTCATGTCCTTTGTCTGTTTTTCAATTTCGTTGTCTTTTTGCTGGTGAGTTGTAAATTTTTTTTTGTACCATTAGTCTTATCGAGAAATCCTACTAAAAGCTCAAATTTGCAATCAGACTAATATAAAAGGCATTATCAAAGATAATAAAAACAGCTAATCAGTTTCCTTATAATGATTATATTCATAGCTTTCTCCATTAACTGACTCCTGTAACAACTCTGTGAAGCAGGCAGGGCAAACATTACTATTTCCAGTTCAAAGCTGAGATGATAATACCCTGCAGTTATTGAGGGATTCTCAATTGCCAACACTCTTAAGTGCTTTACATTCATTATCTCACTGAGTTTCCCCAATAACCCTATAAGCAGATACTATTATTCTCTCCATTTTCAGACTAGGAAATCAATGTAACTAAAACACCTTTAAATGCCTGTGTCCAGGGGTGCATCATTTTAAGTGGCAGGGTCAGGATTCATCTCAGGTGGTGGGACTCCAGGGCTCTCCCCTGTGTGCAGAAAAGACAGTGGAACACGTACAGCAAGTTGAAGTTGCTGAAGATGCTGCAACTAGCATACGTCAGGCACCGGTATTAGGCAGATATTTAATAGATTCCCAAAGGCAAAGCTAATTTATTCCCAGAGAATGTAAAGATGAGAAGAGTCATTCTTAAATGGTTATGAACATGACGAACACATTTGAACTACTGCAATAATTTAGGGACAGGACAATGCTTTGCTGCTATTTCCTCTGGGATAAATGCTTAAAATATTTAAACCAGAAACACTTAGAAGCAGCAAGAGAACTTAGAAAACCCAAAACTTATGCAACCCGTATTTACGCGGGCATCTGTCAACCAGGGCTAACGGGTAACTGTACTGATGTAAGCAGGTCGAGGCAAAAGAATCAAACAGCAGAACTGGAAGGGACTGTGGAAATCAGCCGATGACTAGACGGCGAGTGCGCAGCCCTCGGATTACAGAAGTGACGCCCAGGAAGTTTCAAGATCTCCAGGAAAACATTCTGTGTTAGCAGAACTTCCAACCATTAAAAATCAGTCTATTCCTTTCCCTCCCTTACCGCTTTTTTCTCTTGCTAGCTCTTCAACTACCTTCTTTCTTTCTTTCCTTCAACAAACCTTTTTTGAAAAATGGTGGTCCAGCCAACAGTACATTTCAGTGGGAAGAAACTGTACACGACGTGCTAACAGATTATAACTTAATGCAACCTAGGATCCTTCCCCTCCCCGCGCGACGATCCACCGCCCTGGACCGGAGGTTGGGGTGCGGCCGGGGATGGGCTGCGTAGGAGCCGCGCACTCCCCGCGGAAAGCGGGGCTGCGCAGGGGGAGCCTGCGCCCCCCTGGGCGGGGGCGAATCCAGGCAGAGCGCGGCTTCGCGGTCTCCTAGCGACCCCGGCGGCCGGGGATACACACGGCCCAAGGCTCGGCGGTCGCGGGGGAGCCACCCGCTCCATGGCGGACAACAGGCGGCAGTTCCGGCCGGGGGCGCCGAGTCGGGCGCCCGGGGGCCTGAACTGCAGGCCCGGGTAAGCGCCGCGCGCCGCGCGGGGGCGTATCCCGCGGGGGCCGCGCATTTGCTGGGCTTTGGGCGGGGCGGCGGCTGGCCGGGAGCGCCAGGCCGGAGGTCCACCCTGCCTTTCCTCCTCAATGTCCCCGCACCGAGGATTATAATAGAAAAGAACCAGCGCCTGACTCTCGTCTTGGCAAAGGGCACGTTTTTCTGCTATCCTCACAAGCTCCCTAGGGGGTGCACTGATGTACCCATCCCAGAAGGGGCGCTGGTGGCCACAGAGTCCTCCGCGGACACTGGTTTTGCCACCGGCGCGCCGCTCCCCGAGCTGGCCAACTGGATTTCTGCACGGGTGTGAAGGATCTCAGCACAGATTGGGCCACCTAGCTTGCGACTGTGGTCAAGCTGAGCCTGCGTTTGGAGAGAACCTCGGGTACTGTGCAGCCTGCTGCCATTTTCAATGGTTGGTGTCACGGCCACAGGGCAGAGACTCAAGGCCTTTTGCCTTTGCGGTTTCCTTAAGCTGCTTGTGAGCAGGGAATTCCGCTTTCCTGGGGGCAGCACCACGTAGCGAGATTCCAAAGGCGAGGATCAGAAAGGCTAGAGTGGAAGGCCGGTTCCATTCTTGTTTGTCTGGTGACCTTAGTCAAGTTCGTTGCTCCTTCTGGTCTCAGTTTTCTTAAATGTAAAATGGGGACGATAAAAGAAATCCATTTTATGGGATGTTATGGGGATTAACTGGCATAGGACATGGAAAGCACTGGTGAACAGTGTGTGCCCCACACGCTGGCAATTATGAACTCCTTGGGGATTCTTCTTTCCCCATTTTCAAACTCTTTGTTTTGAAGTAATTACAAACTCAGAAGTTGCAAGTATAGTAAGTACAGAGGTTCCATATACACTTCCCCCAGCTTCTTCCAGTATACCATCTTACGTAACTACAGCACATTGCCAAAGCAGGAAATCAATGCTGACACAACGCATTAGACTAGAAACCTTACCGGGAATTTCACCCATTGTTACTTGCACTTGTGTGTGTATGTGCAGTTTTGTAAAATTTCTCATACATGTATATGAAGATACAAAATTGTTCCCTCACTATAAAGGAGGCACTTTGAGCTACTCTCTAATTGTCTCTCCTCTCCCTATCCCCAGCCTTTGGCAACCACTAATCCATTCTCCATTTCTTTAATTTCATTCTTTTGAGGGTATTAGATAAATAGAATAATATAGTATAAAACCTTCTGAGGTTGGCTCTTTTTCACTCAGCAGAAAGCCCTGGAGATCAATCCACTCAAGGCATTGTGTGATTAAATAGTTTGTTCATTTTTGTTACTAAATAATATTCCATGGTTTGGATATACCACAGTTTGTTTATCCACTTACCTGTTGAAGGGCATGCAGGTTGTTTCTAGTTTTTGGCTATTACATTTAAAGCTGTTATGAACATTTGTGAACAAGTTTATGTGTGAACATAAGCTTTAATTTCTTTAGGATAAATGCTCAATACTCTTGTTCTTAAAGATGGAAATACCATGTATTATATACTAGTGACTGTGGAAATAGTAAATGTTTAGGAAAAAAAACCTGTTCTCAGTTTTATTTCCTGGGTCAAGCAAAATTTTTCATGAACTTAACACGCAAAGAGGTAAGTTTATCAGCTGAGAGGCAAAATGAAGTAGTGGGAAGCCCTCCTGCTAGACTGGTTACCTTTGTTCACCTCTCAGAGCTCAGTTTCCTTATTGAAAAGTGTAGAAGGTGGCCTAGATTCTTTCTGGGGATTCTGCCAGCTCTAACATTCTATGAGGCTTGAACTAGCTGCCACACTTGTCTCATTTTGAGCTGAATGACTGTGCTTAAGCAAAAGTATTGGTCACCAGATTTGATTTTATGAAGGGCTTGGATATTTGTAAATGTGTGGGAAATAAACTTTGTAAAGATATCTAATAAAATGGTGGGTTACTTGCTAATGGTCATGCTGAATGGGTCATTAAATCTGAAGATTGATGTAATTTCAACACCCCTGCCACTAAGCTATTTAAGAGTGATTTATTAATTGCAAAGAGAGACCTGTCGTTATCTCATCTTTTTGTGTCCTTTCATCTAGTTTTTCACAGTAGTCCTGGATGAAGTCCTTAAAACACACACATGCACACAGAGCAAACAAGTTCCTAGGACTCATAAGAAAAAGAATAGGGATCAAGCTGGAATCTCTTAAAAATGCTTTGTGACTATAAGGAGGAGTGCAGCAAGGAGTAGATTTGGGGTAATGAGGCATTGTTGGTGCGAGGGGCCTGAAGGTGGAAGAGGCTTTAGGGAAAGACACCAATAGTACAGAAATATCTGGCTAAGGCAGGGTGATATACTAAGGATAATGAGAGTCTTGCTGTAAGTTACTCAGGTTCCAAGCCCTAACTTGGCAATATCTGAATCTATTAGATTATCCAGGAACTGGTCTCATTTTCCTTCCTATTTGTTCATCCATTTCTTCCATGTCATATTCATGCCCTAACTATTCAAGGCAAGCAGAGGCCTGGTGGTATGGAAACTGAGTGAAGCAGCCTAGGTATAAGGCAGTAGGGAGGAGTGGAGACTGTGAATAAGAATGCACATAGGACTTGTCTAAACAGAGCAGCCACTATACCAATTGCAATTCCATGGAAAGATAGACCCAGTGGTCCCAGAGCTCCTAATTTTTTATCTAGATTTTTTTATGTGAACTTTTTATATGTCAGAAGATCTAGTGTAGTGGTTAAACATCTTTCCCTAGAGTCACACTACCTGGATTAAAATCCCACCAGTACCATTGATTAGCTGTGGGACCTTTGACAAGTTTTGTTTTATAACTTCTTTGTGCCTCAATTTCCTTATCTGTAAATGGGAATAATACTAGTACCTTATACCTACTTCATAGGATTTTTATGAGATTTAAATAAGTTATTACATGCAAAGCACTTAGAAGAGTTCCTGGAAGGGGCATATGAGTGTCCTTCACAAAAAGAATGATGAACTATGGTGGAAGCAGTTGGAAATAATGGATTAGATTTACACATACCATGCTTGGTAAACAAGTAAGAAACAGAATAGTGCCTTTTACAGAAATTAAGAATACATGCACACAAAAGGTGATACAAGTATTATAAGGTTGTGTACAAACAAAAGGGGATGTTTCAATCCTTTTGCGTGGTTTTGCCCCTACAGGACAGTGAGAGTGGGTATGGGGATGAGGTAGGGTAGAGAACCCAGGGAAGGGCCCTTGCGCAGACCAGTGAATATGTGCCATGAGCTATGGCTGTGATTCACAACCTGCCCCACGGGAACCCCGTGAACCCCGGGAAGGGCCCTTGCGCGGACCAGTGAATATGTGCCATGAGCTATGGCTGTGATTTACAACCTGCCCCACAGGAACCCCGCTTCCCTCTCCTCTCCCTTACAACCTTCTTTTCCCAGCCCAATCCTTGTGATCCATACCGCCGGGCATGCTGTCTTCCAGGCACAAGGAGAATCTGCCTTCCAAGGGCTTCACAAAGCCCACGCCCAGGCTGGCATTGCCCACCTCCCTGGATGGCCAGATGCGGGTGTTCATGAGGAAGGGCCTGGATGACTTTGGGAGCGGCTCTCTCCCCCGGGTTTGTCACGGAGCTCCCCAACCTGCCCCAAAGAAGAGGCAGAACAAGCTGCCCGTGGAAGTGGCCCTGCCTGCCAAGCTCCTGGCAGCCCGGCAGGCATGGAGGGCATTCCTGGAGGACGTGGAGGCCCAGTTGGCCCCGCACCCCTTGGCTCTCTACCCACATCTGGAAGAAGATATGCCTGTAGAGGTGAGCCCCCGCCCGAGGGTTGGGGTGGGCCTTCACTGGGGCCTTGAAAGTAAGTCTGCTTAGGCGCCTGGGGAGTCCCTCGAGGGGATGACTCATTTCCAAGGAGAGGACCAGGAATGAAGGTCTCCTCAGGTGAGCGTTCCCATGGAGTGGGGCAGCCTTCCTTTCTCTGCTCCTGGAACGGTTGGCGGGAAACGTACAGGTAGCTCGCTTGGCTTCCTGCAGAGCTGTGCACTTTACAGAGGTCCCAAGGGCAGACCATTTGACCTCTTTTCTCCTGAAGTTCTACCAGTCTAGTTCGCTTGGAACTTTCCGGGGGATTGTTCACTTTTGCCTCTGTTGCTTTAGCCTGGTGTTAGAAAGTGTCCGTAAGTACTTACCAACTTACTAACTGATAGAAGGCCCGAGAACCATAAAGGTCATGGGGAAAATTCACCAAATTGACAAGGCCAGGGCTGGACAGGAGCTCCATAGGTCACCAGTGTCCCGGGCTGCCTCTGCCTTTCAGCTCCTAAACATATGTCTCCTGTCCTTGTATCTCAGAATGGCTCCCACCGCTCCAGGCATTGAGTCTGTAAAGGCTGAGTGCCAGCTGACGCTATCTTTTAATTAGGCAAAATCATAGCTTTCCCAGTAAAGATTGCATTCATCTGACCACTCCACACTGTGAGGTAGTCTAGGAAATTGAGTTTCTTGGCTAGACCTTGCAACATCAAGCAGAATTCTGTCAGCCTCAAGGAAGAAGTGTGGGGTGGGTATCAGGCTGCAAACCAACGGTATCTGCTACCCCACTCCCACCCCTGCCATCTGCCCCCTGCGTCAGTGAGCCTGATCCTTGTGCAGAAAGCTTAATGCCTGTGCCAAAGCCTCCGAGGGCCCCTTCTCACTTGGTGTCAAGTCCCCGCATGTTCTGCCCTCCATCCCTCCCCGTGCTCCTCCCCTCCAGCCGCACTGCCTGCTCCTCTGCCCTCAGTCTGTCCAGCCACTCTGGCCTTCTGGCTGCTCTGTGAGCAAAAACATGCACGGCCAACTGAGGTCTCTCTTCCTGTGCTTGGAGCGCCTGGCCTCAGATGTCGGCCTGGCTCCTGCCTCCACTTCCTCCAGATCTTTGCTCAGATGCCTGCTCATTGGAGAGACCCATGTAAAAGAGCACTTCCCTCTTGCCCTCCTTCTCTGGGCCTCACCGGGATCGATGTTCACCTCAGTGCTTGTCACTGCCGACTCAGCACTAGAACACAAGCTCTGCAAGGGCAGGAGTGTCATCTGTGTCTTCACTGTGTGCCACAATACCTGGCACACGGTGGACCCTAATACATACCTGTACACAATGAATGAATGAATAAATGATCAGTGGCAGAGGTGGGATTTCTAATCAGTTATTTTCCATCTGAGGCCTTCCTCCACTGCCTCTTATAGGTTAGAGCTTCTTGTCCAAGACAAGGAGATTATTTCCACACCCCCTCAGATGGCATCTGGCACTGTAGCTCTTATTTCCATATCTGACCTTCCCAACTCAGGGTTCCTTCTTTCTGAGGCAGGATCTCTTCTTATGGTATGCTGATGACCCCTGGTAGCTCTGGATTTATTTAAATTCTACCCCGAAAAAGAATGTCTCTTTTTGCATGGTTCCAGCCCAATTCCATAACCTAATTCCCCTGGTCCAGCTTGGGTTATGTGCGTATTCCTAAACCAGTCACTGCGGTCCTGACTGGCCGGGCCTACCTGTGGAAGGAGGATGGCATCTGGCCAGTTCAGACCATAAAGACGGGGAGAGGAGGAAGAGAGGGGTCTTCAGAGAAAAACCTACATATCATTATTCACAGGAGGAAGAATGGAAGTGGGTAGTCACAAGCACAGAAATCTGTTAGAGGCCTCTCAGTCAGTGGGGAATTGGGAACCGGGGTAGGCCTGCAACTTACCTGGGGGAGATGGTGCTTCAGCACAAGAGGCTGCAAACCTCCTGTGCAGGTGAGGGAGGCTGACCCGCAGCACCCAGCACACTGCCTGCACAGAAGCTGATGTACAGCCTTGACCTGATGGACAGGAAAAGCAAAGGGGAGAGCAGTCTGTTCTGTTTTAGAGTCAAGGGACCCCCTTACTCAGCATATTTTTCTTCCCTCCAAAGCTGTTTTCTGTTTGTAGCTCTTATTAAAGGTGCTGGAAGTGCTGGATCCTGACAGGAAACTGGAGGACTCATGGGCTTATTGTCAGGGCATCAGGAAAAGAACAAAGGAACCCACACAACTTTTAAAAAAATGTTCCACCCAAGTCAGCCTGGGACTGTAAGTATTGCTCTCCACCCCTCACCCGTCCCATCACCTGATGACACATCCTCAGAGTTACCCTCTGAAAGCTCCTCATCTTTTCAATAATTTAAAGAAACAAAAGTAAATAAGTTCCCAAAGAGGAAGGAAAGGAGCCTTGGGTCCTGCAAGGAACTCATTTATTTCATAAATGGATGTGAGTTGCCCAGCAGTGGAGCAGACGCGGTGTGCCTCCCTGACTCCAGGAGAGCTGCCTGAGAAGAGGGGAGCTGCAGACGACCTGACTGATACTTGGCCCCCAGTGACTCCTTAAATGGTCCGCGGCAGAAGGCCTTTTGTTCAACATTATTGGGACCAGTAGTTGGTTGGGTAACAACAATACCAAAAAGAAAGTAATAATAATACAGGGAATTGTAAAATATGATACTTAAATTCTGAAAACATTTTATTTTATCCTAAAACATAACTGTATAGTCCCTTGCTAGTCTTTCAGTGTAAAGTCATTTTCGGAGTACAGGTCTCCTGCTTGGAGTTCTCAGTCATCTTTTTTGCATAAACTTTACCAGTAAATGCCACCTTCATTGACCCTTTCCAAAGCACTAAGCTTAATTTTCATAGAAACATCCCTCTTTTGCAGCACACTCTGTATCCCCAATTCACATGCTATTAAATTTAAGATATATACTTAAATTAAAGCACTGAGAAGTATACTTGACAAAAATAGGTTTGGGATACAAATTTGACTTTTGAAATTAAATGATGTCAGTGGGCCCCCAAGAGGGTGGGTGAATAGATGGAGAGCAGCCCAGCCACAGCAGCCAGACCACCGACAGGGGCCCCAGGCCCACAGCCAGGTGTGCAGAGGGGGCCTCATAGAGCTTTGCTAGTCACAAGAGTTACCTGCATGGAGGTGGAGGGAGAGAAAATCCACTGTACTAAGTTGTATGTGTTTGTTAGGATGAGACACAGAGTGACAGGAGCTGCATAGGTCAGGCCCCAGAATGTACCCCCTGGTACATTTGGGGAGAACATTGGGGCACACTCATCTCAGCTCTGCCTCTCTTCCAGTGGGAAGCAAGATGGCCCATGGGAAACACAAGTCCTCTGCTCCTCCCTTCTTGAGGGGAGCCCCACCCTGGTCCAGCCCTGCTGGGGTTTCAGCTAGCGTATCCTCTTGGACCTAACCCCATGTTAGAAATTCTATTCTCCCCGTTGCTTTTGCAACAGTACTTGGAATCTGCCAGCAAATCCTAATGGCTTTACTTTTTTTCTTAATTAAAGTATCATTGGTAGACAATTTTATGTTGGTTTAAAATATACAACACAGTGGTTCAACAGTTACCCATATTATTAAATCCTCACCCTCTCCAGTGTGGTTACATACTATCAATGTAGTAAGATATTACAGAATCATTGGCTCTATTCTCCATGCTGTACTGTCCCATGACCAGCTTATATCGTGATTGCAAATTATTGTGCCGCTTTATCCCCTTCACACTCCACCCTGCGCCCACCCCAACCCCTCCATCTTGGTAACCACTGGTCCCTTCTCAGTGTTTATGAGTCTAATGCTATTTTGTTCCTTCTGGTTTGTTTGTTTTTAAACTCCACAAATAAGTGAAATCATATGGTATTTGTCTTCTTTGCCAGGCTTATTTCACTGAGTACAATACCCTCTAGATCCTAATGGCTTTACTTTTGAAATACATTCCAAATCTCCCCTGCTCTACTGCTGTCAGTCTGTTCCAAGGTAGCATCATCTCTTGCCTGGATAATTGTGATAGCTTGCTAACTGGTCTCATGGCCTCAGCCCAGGGTACCCCTCCTCACCAAACCCCACCCTGTCACAAAGTAGCTAAAGTGATTGTTTAAAATATTTAAGTCAGATAGTGTCTTTCCTATGCTCAAAATTCTCCAGTTACTTACTTACTCAGGATGAAATTCAAAATCCTTATAACTGGTTCTAAAATCCCTTATGATCAGGCCTCATCCTCTACCATCCTCTCTTTAGTCACTTCCTTCCAGTCGCCCTGGCCTGTGTGTTTCTTCACACACACTTGGTACATTCCTACCTTGGGGTCTTCACATGCTGTTCTTTCCTGTCTGGTGTCTGCATGGTTTGATCCCTTTCTTCTTTCAGGTCTCTGCTCAGATATCACTTTAGAGTGAAGCCTTCTCTGTATAAATAAAAAGCCTGTCATCACTCTCCATCCTTCCTGTCCTGTTTTACTTTGCTTTATACCACTTGTAACCACCTGGTGTATATTTGTTTACCTCTTTCCTATTTGTCTCTCCCTCCCCAACTATATTCTCTATGAGGATAGATCTTAACTTTATGTGTAGCTGAATCCTCGTGCCTAGAACAGTGCCTGGCACATAGTTAGTGCTTAATGAATATTTGTTGAATGAATGGATGGATGAATTAATATAGGGATGTTAGGAATAAAATGTGGTTTCTGGGGACAGCCCGTGTAAATGCCTCCCTGTGGAAGGGACCTGTATGCTGAGACATAAGGGGAATGAGGGAATGGAGAAGGCACTGCAGTCAGATGAACAACATGTACGAAGGCTCTGTGGCTGGAGGGAGCACGATGAGTCATGGAACTGAGAAGGCCACCATGGCGGAGCTCAGAGAGTGAGGGAGGATGGTAGCTCCAGAAGAATCTGGAGACAAGGATCAGGCCATGAAGAACTTTGGAAACAGAGTAAAGACTTAGGTCTTTATTGATGAAATAACAAGAAACTACTGGACACAAAAACTTGCACCTGAATGTCCATAAAAGTGTTATTTGTAATAGCCCAAAGTGGTAACAGCCCAATGTTCTTCAACTAACTATGGATAAACAACATGTGGTCTATCCATACAATGGGAAATTAGCCATAAAAACAAATAAACTACTGATACGTGCTGCACCATTTATAAACCTTGGAAACATTATGCTAAGTGAAAGAAGCCAGACACAAAGACCACCTATTATATGGTTTGGTTCAAATAAAATGTCTAGAATGGGCAAATCTATGCAGACAGAAAGTAGATAAGTGGTTTTCAGGAGCAAAGAGAGTGGGGAGAATGTGAAGTGACTGTTAATAGTTATGGGGCTTCTTTTTGGGTTGATGAAGATGTTTCAGACTTAGTAGCAGTGGTTGCACAACTTTGTAAATACATGAAAGCCACTGAACTGTGTACTTTGAAATGGTAAATATTATGGTACATGAATTGTATCTCAATTTTTAAAAAGAAGCTACTGAAGAGGCTTAACTTGATATGACTAGATTTAAATTTTGAAATTATTTTAGCTGTAGTATAGAGAATGGATCAGGGATTGGGAGTCGGGGCCCTACTAGAAAACCAGAGACACCAGGGAGGATCCTTTTGCAACAATCCAGAGGAGGTGGAATTAAGTCTACTGGATTCATTAATAGGCTGAATTTTAAGGATGAGTGAAAGAGAAGTCAAGGATGTCTCCTACTTGTCAAGATTGTCTAAGGCTTTGGCCGACTCCAAGCACAGTAATTTGGGCTTTTACCTGGAAACTGTCTTACTAAATGTTACTCATAATTTTTAAAAATCAACTTATAATGGTAAGATGCTATGTAACTTTTCACTGTGGTAACTACTCGTGATCTACTTGTCTTCATGATACTGATAATTAGGATGTGATCTTTGAAAAATGAACGTATGATTTGTATGAGTTCGCAAGAGACTTAGAAATCCCTGCCTTATGATGTCCTTTCTCTGAGATGGTGTTTGAAATTCACTTAGATTCATGGTGTCTCATATTGTAATTCTTTGATGGTCTCATTATCTTTAGTTCTAAGAAGAGCCCTGTGTCACATCCAGGCCAATGGCTTTATGAAGAAAAGAAGCCAGTTGAAACACATTTGCTCCATGAAGGTGGTCCTTATCATGAAAACGTACACAAAGTGGTTCGTGACTTCTGCAACTGGGCTACTACTTTTGTAAGTTAGTAGTAATACCTCAACCTACTTTTAAGTCAAGCTCAAAATTGCTTTTATTAAAATACAGTGTTTGGATATCATCTAAATCAAATAAGCAAGGTCATAAAGGAATCTTTATGAATCTCCCACCATTTAGAATAGAAGTATTTCTTGTAAATGATGTTTTTGGAAAGCTCACAAGCTTGCAGCCAATTTGAACGTTTATTGTTCATATGTCAATTTGCAGTTTCTTGCTTTGTTTTTCTTTTTTTTTAATGGCTTTCTTTTTTGTCAGCTTTATTGAGATATAATTGACATGTAAGATTGTATAATTTTAAGGTGTACAGCATGATGTTGATAATTTGATATAAGTACATAGATTGCAAAGTGATTACTTCAATGGGATTAGTTAACATATCTATTACCTCCCATGATTACCTTTTTTAGTGTTTGGTGAAAAGATTGAAGATTTACTTTCTTAGCAACTTTCAAGTACAAATATAATATTGTTGACTATAATCACCATGCTGTACATTAGATTCCCAGAATTTATTTATCTTGTAACCTTAAGTTTATACCCTTTGGCCAATTATCTCCTCATTTCCCCCATTCTGTTGGTTCATAGTTTTATTTTCCATCTTAATGTTGGGACCTTCTTTTCTCTCTTCCTTCACTCCTTCATCAACTCAGTTGTCTCAGTTATATTTACCTATAAGTACTTGGGCAGCAACGCTTGACTACAACCTTCGATAGACAGTATTGCTGGCATATATAGGCTTTAACTTAGCTATCCTTACCCTCCATTCAAGAACCTATTTGATTACCTATTCCTTTTCCTAAATTATTGTAGATATCTGATTACTGAGTTTTTTCCTGGATTTAAGACCTGGATTTTTGAGTGCATGAGTCAGCTTTAGAGAATGTTTTATTTAGGACAATTTCATTGACAAATTGTCCCAAAGTATAATTCAGACTGGTTTAAGGGAGAAAAGGGAACCATCCAGAGGTATTAGGAGCTTCAGGCACAGCTGGATCTAGGTGCTAAAGTATTTTTAGGTGCTCTCCTTATCTTTTGGCTGAACCCCTCTATCTGACTTCATTTTCTAGCAGTCTTTCCCCAGGAGATGTCAAAAGTAGCCAAAATTTCCAAGCTTACATCCTACCAAGTAGCATTCTGAATAGGAAAAGAGCAACTCTTTTCCAGCAGGGAGATGTCCAGGGCTTAATCTTGCTGGACTAACCTGGGTCATGTGCCTGGGCCTGAATTATCCACTGTGAGTCAGGAGATGGAATATGCTCAATGACTAGGCCAGGTCACATTCTAACCCTCAGGCCAAGAGGTCGATGTGTCCAGCCTAGCTGCAACAGAGCAGGGGTGGTGGTGGGAAGGCTCCCCAGAGGGTGATCGGCATGGGGATGCTGGGCAAGGCAGATGATACCCACTCTCCCTGGTGCCTGAACCATTCTTGTCCATAATCTAGCTGGATTGGATTGCCTGATTCCTAGCCCTTCCACTATTCCCATTTCTACTGCTGGAGACTATCTATCATCTATTATCTATCCCTATCTATCTATCAATCTATCTATCTATCTATCTATCTATCTATCTATCTATCTATCTATCTATCTATATCTATCTATTATCATCTATCTATCTATAACTATTATCTCTCTATCTATATATGTCTCTCTATCTTTCTAGGCAGGAAATTTAAGAGATCCTAGAGTAATAGTTAGCTGCACTAGTGACTGGCCTTACTGTCAGTACCTTATGACCAGTCCTATCTTTACTTCAGTTATATTACCTTGGTCCCATCACAGCACCCTGTGGTATTTTCTCCATAGCACTAGCCCATACTTTCCTTCCATGCTGTTTATTTTCTACTTCATTCTGCTTTCTTTATTTCTGCTTCATTATTATTTTAACCTAGTTTCAACTCTTGTCCTTCCTTTATGCCCCTGACTCTATTTCATTACTCCTTTCTATAAATTACACTCCAATATCAACTTCAGTTGCTAATGGTGTTATTCGCTCTGTGTTTCCCAATTTGTTTCCCAAAATGGGATTGTGTTGAGTCTGCAGAGGAGGAAAAGGTAATTTTCCTTCTACTCTTCTGAGTTCTCACTGGGGTCTCTACAACAAAAGACAGATTAACAAGAGAAAACAAGCATACATTTATTAACATGTGTACCTCATATATATATATATATGGTAGAAACCCAGGGAAAAAATGAGTAACTCTTTGAAGTGGCTTAGAATTCAGGCTTAAGAGTCATCTCCAGCTAAAGACAAGAGAGAGAAGAGGGCGGAGAGCAAGGTGTAGGAAGGTGGTCAGGAAAAGTAAATAAATAAGAGTAAGCTTTGTTGTGCAGATTTAAGTGACTTCTCCATTGGTAAGTTCCTTATGATTTAGAGTCTTCTTTCTCTTCCTGATTCAGAAAGGGAGACACCTTTACAAATGGAGACTTCCTTTATAAACATAAATTTCCCTTACAAAGGGGTAACTTTTACTCTGTTTTCACAGCTTCTCATGTGTAGTCTTCTGTTCCCCAAAATAATCAGCTCAGAATAATCCTTATGCCAGAAACATATTTTGGGGTGGCATGTTTTTAGCAGAGGTTAAGAACTTAAAGGTTCTTAACCCTTTAAGTCTAAGTTATCTTTTAGCTCCATTATAGGTCAACAGTCAGCCTACAGATTAGCTGCTGTTAATGTGCCCATCTCTACTCCCACTAGCTGTGACTGGGAGAAGGGAATGAAGAATGTTTTTCAGTGCACCAAATATGGCTGACTAAAACCACCTTCTTCAGAAGGAGCCCTGACTGGGGCAGCTTGCCTTATAAGAGGCTGCAGGCAGAACAAACATGACACTTCTAGACATGTCTGGAAAATACCTCTAGGATGTCACTGCTGTAAAGTGTCAGAGAAGTGTGCTTTTGATCAAACAGAATTTTCCTCAGCCCCGTTAATTCCGTCAAGGACTTACTGCTTCTTGCTGGTCCTAAATTGACTCATAATGCACTGACAAAGCCCTCCAGACCCCAGATACTTCTTGTCTCCAGTGAATGTTGACTGAACATTTTTGACATTTCCTACAAACAACGTCTTCTCTAGCCACAGTCAAATGCCTGCCTTAGATTAAAGAAGAAAGCAAGGAGAGGTTCACCACTTGTCCTTGATCTATGCAATCTGATATTCTTCCAGGGAAGTTCACACATTGATGAAGAATTCATCCTGAAACAATTTGACATTGACTATCAGAGCAAACCAAGCTGTGATGTATTCCACCCGATAAGGCCTAGTCAGGTTCCTCTGGAGCTAAAGAAGAGAGTGGAGCTAAATAAACTTCAGAAACTAGAATTTTCCCAGAAACTAGACTCTGAGAAGAAACTCCAGAAACCACAGGTAATTACAAAAGGAGAGACCGATGATCAAAGAAAATTAAGTTTTAGTAAAATCTTAAATGTTCTTGAATTATGGTATCTCAGGGGCACCAGCCTTTTTCAGTAGAATTCTTGAATTTTTTTTGATGTTTAATAAGTATTTGTTAAGTGAATGGGTCTTTAATACATATAACAAAGCCAGTTACACAAACAAGTCATGCCATTCAGCATTGTTAATATCTGAATAGTTATTGTTATTCTCTACATTTTATATCTTGAATTCTCTCTTTTTTTGTGTTTTATATGTTGAGATGATCTTATATGTTTTTTTGTGTTGAAATGCATCTCTTTATATGCTTTATATGTTGAAATCCTGTCAGTGGAAATATACATGAATGATTATTATTGCAAAAGTAAAATGCTACAATTAATGATGTGAAACTGTTTAGTCTATGTCCAAAAAATTCTTAAAATCTTATGAGAGTATTATTGACCTCAAAGTATCATTCTTGACCACATGCTTGCCCTACCATCCACAAATTGTTCAGTTTTCCTTTACTACTGTCCTGTGAGGATAGGAGAACAAGGAAACAGAGAAGAAAAAACAAGCTCTGTTCCAATGGGAAGCACTGTGGACCTCTCAGTATGTTTTTGATTTTCTCCACAATGTATTACTGCAAATATACATACCCACAAGTCAAACCATGCCATTCCAACAACAGACTTAAGTGCCTAAGTGGCAGTTGAGAGGCAGGGTGAGAGTTCCTTTCTCTGAAAGTAAAAAACTATATATCTATATATAATCTCTAATTATTCTCTGTCCTTTGCATATACTCTTTGATACCATATTTCCAGTATTTTGGATGTATTATCCTGGTCCTTTGTAATTGAACACAATAGACTGACCTATTTTAAATACATGATGTTTGCCATCCTTGATTGTTTCATAAGGTTTATGAAAACTGCACATTCCATCACTAATATCAACACTTTACATTTCCTCTTTCCTTTCATCTCTCTATAGGGTAAAATGCAAAATGATGCTGGATAGGAAACTTACATCCATTACACTTGAGGCCCGAACCACTGCTTGTCCTGAATCTGGGCTGAATCAAATTGTCCAGTCCCCTCTGTGTACAAATAATTGCACGAATGCTGCTTTATAAACCATGGTGGTTATTGCCAAAATTGAACTTTTGACTGGCAAATGGAGGGTCACTATGCAAAAGTTCAAATATATTTCCACATGGTGTCATTTTCCTTCTGCCTGAAGGACTTCTTTACTACTTTTAGAGTAGATTTGCTGGTGATGAATTCTTACAGCTTTTGTATGTCTGAAAATATCCTTATTTCTGCCTTCATTTTTAAAGAAATTTTTGTAGGCATAGAATTCTGGTTCAGAGTTTTTGTTCGTTCATTTGTTTTTAGTACTTTAGAGATGTTGCTCCACTGTTTTGGTTCTATTGTTTCTGATGAGAAATCTTAGTCATCCTTACCTCTATTTTCTGGGTGTATTTTTACTCTTGGCTGCTTTTTAGATTTTCTCTTTATCATTGGTTTTGAGTAGTGCAATTATTATACACTTTGGTGTATGTTTCTCCACTTTTCTTATGCTTGGGGTTTGCTGAAACTCTAACCCATGGGTTTATAGATTTTATCAACTTTGGAAAAATTTTGACAATTATTTCTTCAAAACCTTTTTTATCTCTCATTTGCTTCAGCCAGGACTCTGATTACATAAAATTAGGCTGCATGAAGTTGTCTCACAGCTCTCCACTACTCTGTTCATTTTTTTATTCTTTTTTTTCTCTATTTCTATTGCTGTGTCTTTAAATTTTCTAACCTTTTATTTCTGCAATGTTTAATCATCTGTTGATCCCATCCAGTGTATTTTTCATCTTATACATTCTAATTTTCATCTAAGAAGTTTGACTTGGGATTTTAAAAAATATCTCCTTGTCTCTACTTAATCTTTTGAACATATGGAATACAGTTACAATAACTGTTCTGATGTTCTTGTCTGCTAATTCTAACATCTGTATTAGTTCTGTTTGAGTTTCCATTAGTTGGTTTATCTCCTCATTATGGATCATGTTTTCATGCCTCTGTGCATGCCTGGTGATTTTTTTAATTGAAGCATAGTTGATATACAATCTTATATGGGTTTCAAATATACAACAGAGTGTTTCAACTGTTACCCATGTTATTAAATCCTCACCCCAACTAGTGCAGTTACTATCTGTCAACATAGAAAGATGTTACTGAATCATTGGCTATATTCGCCATTCTGTACAAACTTATGTTATGATTGAGAGTGCCCCTTTTTCTCCCTCACCCTTCCCACCCACCCACCTTAATCCCTCCCTCATACTAACCACCAGTCACTTCTCAGTGTCTATAGTTTACTGTTGTTTTGCTCATTTTGTTTTGTTTTGTTTTTAATTTGTTTTAGACTCCAAATAAGTGAAGTTATATGGTATTTGTCTTTCTTCACCAGACTTATTTCACTTAGCTTAATACCCTCTAGATCCATCCATGTTGTTGCAAATGGCATGATTTCTTTCTTTTTTATGGCTGAATAATATTCCATTGTGTATATGGGCCACATATTCTTTATTCATTCATCTACTGACAGACATTTGGTTGCTTCCATATCTTGGCTGCTGTAAATAATGTAGTAGTAAACATAGGAGTACATGTGTCTTTTTGAATCAGGGATTTTGTTTTCTTCAGGTAGATTCCTAGAAGTGGAATTACTTGGTTGTATGGTATTTCTATTTTTAGTTTTTTGAGGAACCTCCTTACTGCTTTCCACAGTGGCTGTACCAATTTACATTGCCACCCACAGTGTAGGAGGGTTCCCCTTTCTCCGCATCCTGGCCACCACTTGTTATTTCTTGTCTTTTGGATTGCATGCCCGGCAACTTTTTAGTAGATGCTAGACATAGTGATTTTTACCTTTCTGGGTTGGGCATTTCTGTATTCCTATAAACTTGAGTTTTGTTCTGGCATGTAGTTAAAGTTAATTGGAAAAGTTTGATCTTTTGGGGAGCTTGGCTTTTAAGATGTATTGGGAAGGACCAAAGTAATGTTCAGTCTAGGGCTAATTCCCTACTACGAGGGCAAGACCCTTCTGCATATCCTACCCAGTGTCCTGAGAATCATTCAGCTCCCAGGAGGAAACAGGTCCTGTGTGCATGCTGGGCACCATCTCCCCTAATTCTTTCGCTAGTTCTTTCCCTGGCTGCCAGTAGTTTCCCATATTTGCACAGAGGGAGAACCTCTGCAAGCCTCTGGAGTTCCCTCTGTGCAGCTCTCTCCTTTCTGTTTCTCGGTGCTGCAAACTTTAAGTGCCTTGGGCTTCCTGGACTCTCAGTTCTGTCTCCTCAACTCAGAGCCTGCTGGGCTCTGAACCCCTCCCTGCACTGTGGCCTGGAAGTGCTCTCGAGCTGGGGCAGTTGTGGGACTTAACCTTGTTTCTTTCTCATCTCTCAGGGATCACTGTACTTGTTATTTGATGTCTAGAGTTTTATAAACCATTGTTTCATATGTATATATTTTTTTGGCTATTGTAGGTGGGAGGGTAAATCTGGTCCCTATTTCAGAAGTTGAAGTTCATATCTTTATTTTTGCCCCCACAGACTCTCAGGCCTGCTGCTCTGCTCTTTGGTGTTCTGAGCTTTCCCATGACCTCTCCTTGGCTCACAATAGTCTCTCTGCCTGAAGTGCCCCTCCTCCCATGTCTCCCTGCTCATAGCTTCCTCTGGACACAGGTCGTATGCCAGTTTTTCATGGAGTTTTTTTCAGGTCCCTTGGTTGACATTGATTTATTCTCGCTGCTGATCTCTCACAGCCGTCTGTGCCTCTGTGTAGCGTCTCTCCCTTTGCTCTGCATGTGCACTCACCCGTTTGTCTATACGATCCTCCAAGGAACATTTCTGAGTATCTCCTGCTATGTGCCAGAAAGTGCTGGGAACAACTGAAGCAAAAAGAGAAGACTGTTTCCCACACTTCAGATGCTTATAGTCTGGTAGGGTCCAGGTAAATGATTAGCTATGATGAAATAATGTCATGGTTCATATAAGATGTAGAAAGAAGTAATCAGCTCCACCAAGCATGGGGCGAGGGTGGGTTCAGTTAAGGCTACACAGAAAAAGTTGGGTTTGTGTTCAGTCTTGAAAGATCACCAGCTACCCAACAACCTAACATATTCTGGGACTCACATTCTTTAGTGCAGCTGTGGTGTGGACTTCTCACCCTCCCTTCTTTTTTCTTCTCTTTCCTTCCCTCCTGTTAATTCAGTAGCTCTCAGCTGAGGGCACCCACCCACTGCCCTGGACAGGGGTATTTAGCAATGTCTGGAGGTGACGTTTTGGTTGTCTTGGCTGTCACAGTTTGGGGTGGGGGTGGCTGGTGCTACTGCTAATGAGTGGATAGAGGCCAGGTTTCTGCTAAATATCCTTCTATGCATAGGACAGCCCCCGAAAAACAACAGTCCAGCTGAAAATGTCAGTAATGCCAAAGGTAAGAAATCCAGCTTTAATTCAACAAGTAGTTATTGAGCACCTATTTGTGAGGTGGTTACAATTTCTAAATTAGATGGTTAGAGAAAATACAACTGAAAAGATGATGTGAAATAGGTAAGGGAATGGGCCATTCCTTTTTTGAAGAAGGACATTATAGCAGAGGAAACAGTGAGTGCAAAGGTCCGGGGCAGGAGCATGATGGCTGTACTTGAACTAGCAAGGAGGTCAGTATAGTTGAAATGGATAGGTCACAGTGCTGAATCCAGCTCTGAGAAGGGATTTCTCTCCCCTGTGCTCTGTCCCATCATCTCTGCTTCAGAGAGGCATAACAGGTTTGACATTAGAATGCCCCACACATTCCACCCATAGTTTAAATGTGAGTGAGAAGAGAGGGTGCAGAATCTTTGTGGTTTCGTGTCTTTGCCTCTTCCAAGAGTTAGTCCCCTTTTGTGATGAGACAGCACGTGGGCACTGCATCCACAGTATCAGACTATGAGCCAACAGTTCCCTTAACATCTTCGATGTACTACTGAGAAATGGGAGGAAGAAAGGACTGATGTCTGTTTTTCCTATTCTTCCTCTTTTCCAATTAAAGAGGCAAGAGATTGATGTTGGATAACATTTTAATCAAAAGGAGTGTATCATTTACAAGGCTGAGTACAGTGCCAGGCTTATAATAAGTTGAATAACTTAGTATTTTGGTTGACTCAGTATTGTTTAAGGTCACTACCCTTCAATGAAATACATGATTTTTACATGATTTATAGTTGTTTTATATGATTCTCTCCTTTAGTCTTTCCTGTAACCTTATGGGATGGATATTATTCATCCGTTTTACAGATGAAGAGTTTAAGTAACTTGCCCATGGAGCTACTAAGGAGGAGAGGATGAATTTAAATTAGGTTTGTCTAAATTCAAAGGCCATGCTTACCCACCACCTTATTTTCCCAACCATGAACTTTTCATGTTCTTTGTAAATCAAAGCATACTGAAACTTCACAAAATACTTTGGCAAGGACCAATCATAAATAAAAAATAATTGCTACTGCTTTCATAAGCTAAATCTTAGATTTACTCAAATGACAAAGTGTAAAAAACTAATGAAATTGGTAATTATGTTATTTTCTATAGAATCCTTGTAAACCAAAATATGTGAAGATGAGGTATGGAGCATGGTATCTGAAAACTGACTTGTGGAAAAAGCAAAGAGTAGATGAACCTTTGGTTGACCCCAAGATCTCATGTAAAGCTCAAGATGAGAATTGTAAAAACCAGCTTCAGGGACAGGTATGTATATATGCTAAGATTTGATCAACTGAGCTAAAGATGATCGTAATACAACTGCCACCTTATATTGAAGTCAGAATCTCTGGAGTAGAACAGAGGCTCCCAAAAGTCTTGCAGCTTACACACAGAATGCAGCACTGAGAAAACCAGCTCATTATGAGCTGAAAACTCAGCTTATTATGTAATATGTATTATTATGTATTATGTAAAAGCATGAGCTGAAAAACTGCTTATTATGTAATAAGCAGACTGGACATCATCTCCAGGCTCCATGGCAGACACACGGTCTCTAAAGACATGATAACCGCTCGTTGGACTCCACCGTTCTTGGAACAGTTGATCCTGTGGATAAGCTGGCTGTCCAAAAGGGCAATGTGATCTGGTAGAACCACCTTAGTACTCTAATGGATGTAATGTCTTGGGTTCTATTTGAATAAGTAAATATGAAGCTTATTTTTTGTCAGGAGTGTATGAATGTTAAATAATTTAAAATTGCATTTGGGCAACTTCTTTATGCAGTTTAGCAGAGTTGGAGGATTTGTGTGAGAGAAAGGCGGTGAAGGTTAATTAATGCACTGAGACCACAAAGCTACAAACATGCCCCAAAATGATGTGCTCCAATGATACTGTAGATAAACTCACCTGCCCAACTCTTGAGTACAAGTATCTAATGGAAAGAAGATACTTAGAGTCCTGGGAATTTGGGGATAAAATGACCCAACACTTGAACAGCCTGGTGATGAGAGTATTTATGAACATCTTTTACAACAGCTTCAAAACTTCTCCCAGATAATGATGTAAAAACACTTCAACAAAGTAAAATGCTGTGTAAATTTGGCTACTTACTTATTCTATAATCACTCATTGATTGTCTCCAGTTTGGAAAGCTGAGACAGGAAGGATGGTCATTTTTATCTTTCTAGTACTAGGTATGAAATTCTTATTTTCTTATGTAAGTCATGATACAAGTTTATGAGCATAAGATACCTATTTAAGCCTCAAAATAATGTAAATAACGTTGAGCAGAACTTCTTGGTATATAGTTTTGGAGCTGCCTATTTATGTTCATGTGAATTTAATACATAGCATAAAATTTCAACAATTAACAAAACATTCTCAGGGAATTAAATATTGAAAAACAAAAATAGTTGCAAAACTTTTGTTTTAAGGAATCTAGAAGTTCTCTGTTTAGAAATATATTCTTAAAGACTTAAAGAATTTTACAAAAATGTTTCATTGTGATGGCAAAAGCTCATAATGATATTTGCCAAAATGGTTACTGTCAAAGAAGCAATATTTAAATTCTAAAAATGTGATTGATATAACTATTTAAAGATTGTTTTTCAGGCAGTTTAGGCACAGGAAGGATTCAAGGCAATGGAATTGTTCTAGAATGATTTTTATAAATCACACTTTCTTAATACCTGAAGATTGATGGCATAATACCTGTGCACTATAGATGGTGCCACATGGCTATGACACCCCAGGTCATAAGACACAGGTGTGATGGAGTGCTGGTGAGGGACAGTCACTGTGATGATGTGGCTGTTTTGCTGGGAACACATAAGTTTTGACTATTCTGGATTGAGTTTATTTGGCAGGTAAAATGGTCTTAAGGAACTGAATTACCATGAAATAATTACCCATCCAAATTTTAAATTTAAATAAATGGAAGGAAAAACAAAAAGGATGCATGAATATCCCAAAGACATTCAGACTGGATCATTTTCAATTGTCATGCCCTTTGAAGTTAAAATCTGTTTGAGAACAAAAATTCAGTCCAGTAAACTTAAATTGGCATTACACAGTGATTTACGAATCAGGTAGCATCCTTTCTAACAAACAGAAGGATACTCCAAGGAGTTGTACAAAATGGAAGGCTTTTCTAGGCAGAAACAGGGTGAAACAAAGAAGTTATTAGCAAAATTTTAAAAAAGATTGTTTCAGGAAAGGGTACTTTCCCTTAGGGGAAGGGTAGGAGGCCTTATCCTGCTTCCCTCACAAGTGCTGATCAGGAAATCTCACACTGACTGATTTAAAATTCCACTCCTGGAAGAGGCTGAAACTGCAGTTAGTTTAGGTAGTAAGTCTTTGTGAGGCTTAACATAAGTGACTCCACTTTGGGCCTGTTGGGTTTTTTGGACAGATCTAAAAATTGTGGCTGTATTGGTGAATAGGAAAACCACTCCTGTTTCTCCCTTTACTACTCTCAGTTCTGGCCACTGAATGTGTCGGGTTCTTTTCCCCACACCAGGCAATTCTCTGATTCTCCAGACACCAGCTGTGCTTCCTACAGTTCAACACAATTCCCACAGTATCTACCTGGAGATAAATGTTAGATCCCAAGGGTTAAAGGCTCAGTCCCACAAGACTGCCCTGACTTCAGATGCCAATCACAAGTCCAAACTGTCAGCTGTGCTTCTGACCAAGTGGGCTTTTAAAGTGGAGGTTCCCATGACCTCCTCCTCAGGTTTGATCACCTGTTAAATAGCTCACACAACTCAGGAAAACAGTGTAGTCATTCGATTGTTGGTTTATTATAAAAGGACATAAAACAGGAACAGCCAAATGAAGTTGATGCCCAGGGTGAGGTATGTAGGAAGGAGTGTGGAGCATCCATGCCCTTCCCAGGCAGACCACCCTCCCAGCATCTCTATGTGTTCCCCAACCTGGAAGCTCTCTGAACCCCCTTCTTCTGTGGTCTTATGGAGGCTTCATTACATAGGCATGAGTGATTAAATCATTGGCCACTGGGGATTCATCCAACCTCCATCTCCTCGCTCCTTCCAGAGGACAGTTGGTAGAGCTGAAATTCCAACCCTCTCATTACTTGGTTGGTTCTTCTGGCAGCCAGCCCCCTTCCTGTGGGTGTGTGGCAGGTTTACAAAAGTTGCCTCGTTCACATAAGTGCTGCCATTGTTAAAAGGGGCTCATGAAAAAGGAAAGACTCCTTTCACCTTTGTGGCTCTTAGCACTTAGGAAATTCCAGTACTTTTAGGAACCCTGTACCAGTAATGCCAAATATATATCTGTTACTACAAATCATAGTATTACACTTACTAATCTCAAATACATTAGATTCCAGATATCCTAGGTCAATAATAGTTTAATTGCTAAAATGTGTTGCTTATCCTTAATGTAAAAGTAAGAAAAAGGATAAGGAAAGGAGAGAAAGTTGGACATTTCTTGAAGGCCTTTATATCATCAACTCATGAATGTTATCTACACACGTACCCCCAGATGAGAAGGAAGCAATTTAAAAGAAGCTATTTTACAAAGAGCTAAATGCTTTTAATTAGGACAAGTGTGAAATCAAGCTTCTGACAGCTGACTGTTTTTTAAAATGTGGATCTTCTTTCAGGAGTTACTTGCAGACCTTCATGGAATAGCTGCCTTTAAGGATTTCATTCTAAGCAGGGGCTACAGGATGCCAAGCGTGAGTAAAGGGTCATTTCAGAAAGACCTGCTGAGGGGCTCACAGCTGTGGATGGGAAGTGGTCAGCACCCTTAAGAAATCAAAATACTTCTCTTCCAGGCAGATACAACTCAGGCTCCTGGGAGAAAGGGTATACTTTCCCCCAGGCAGGAGCTCAGAGGTAGGATTTGGCATTTTGCTCTTTTTATTTTGCCTATTGGGTTTTAGCTATGTCAGAGGTGCTGTCTGCCTGTTTACTCACCTGCCTTGAGTTTGGCCTTAATGGGACCAAAGTAAAAGGGGTCGCTGTGCAGGGCATGTGTCTTGCAAACTCTGACTGGTACTAAAACACTCTGAGGTCTCTGAGTCTCTTTCACTTCCATATCTAAGGACAAAGAGCTGTAGCTTGAGGCAGGGCAGAATGGAATTGGGGTCCACAGTATTATTGTACTACGGGGTCTGCCTTGTGTGGAAACAGAGTAGGGCAAAAGTTCACTTCCTGGGTGCCCCACCAGTATCTTCTGACTTTTTCCCACTTTCTCTTTGCCCCCATCTAGTTTCCCTCCCTTAACTTGTAAAGCTGGCCCCAGCTGCCTCCCATATGGAGTAGCCACCCTTGAAGACACGTGTAACAAGGATGGGTTGGAGGTTAGCAGAACAAGCCATTTAGCAGGAGGGCCTGGAGTCCTGCACCCAGACCAACCCTGTCACCACAGCAGGAAGCCAGCTAGGCTTGGGGCCAAAGTCAAGGCTAACAGGTCATCAGCTTACCCACTATCCTCTGCATGCTCATCCTGTGGAGTCGTGAGGGGGCTGTGCAGCCAGGAGGGTCAGAAGTTTCTGTTTTTCTTCTTTCCAAGAGTAATAGAAGTAACAATAGCTGATATTACTGACAAAAAACATATTGATCAAGCTCAGATCCAGACTGCTTTCAGTTAAATTAGATAATATGAGAGGAAGTCTAGAGTGTGAAGTAGAGATGGGGCTGAAAGAGTCCATACAAACTGGGGATGAAATATCTCCTTTAGTTGGAGCATCAGTAATAGCAAGATGTATTTAATATACTCATACACATTTCTGTACTTAAAATAACTGCCTAATCTGTATATAAGGGTCACATAAGTATATTTTTATATATTTATATATAAAATATAAAAATGTTCACATAGTATTTTATGATTATATGATTATATATGGTTATATATAATATATATGTAAATAATACTTAAGCATCAATATAATTATGTGATTTATGTGTATCTATGTAAATGTGTGCATATATATTCCTCTTGCTGAGGATATACCTAATATATAATCCTTGCTTGCTCTTGATGTTATGACTCATAATTCTATTTAAAGATTTTTAGTGGCAAAACAATGTTTTTTCATTTTGATTTGTCCCCAGCTGGCTTAATTCCTTCTGCGGATGAACATGCACTTCAATTTTGAGCAAAAGGAAGTATACCTGTCATACTGGCTATACTCTTTTAGAAGCATTAACTAAAGAGAGATGATGCCCCTAGTTACAGCTGAGTCCTCTGAGAATATCTGTCACTCAGAATCCTGGAAAATTTTCTCCCTTTATTCTCACATCCTGTATCCTCTATTTTATCAATAAAATTTCAACTGAAATAGAGGAGGGACTCTATTATAGTAAATTATTTATATATATGTATATATATACAGACAGACAGTTGACCCTTGAACAACACATGTTTGAACTGCACACGTCCACATGTAGATTTTTTTCAATAAATATACTGGAATTTTTAGGGGGGAATTTGCAACAATTTGAAAGATTTTTTTCTATAGCTTAATTTATTGTATGAATGTAGTATGTAATAGATATATAAAATATGTGTTAATAGACTATATTATCAGTAAAGGTTCTGGTTAACAGTAGGCTATTAGTAGTTAAATTTTGGGGGAGTCAAGAGTTATATGTGGATTGTTGACTGTGTGGGGAGCCAGCACTCCTAACCTCTGCATTGTTCAAAGGTCAACTGTGTGTGTGTGTGTGTGTGAGTGTACAGAGAGAGAGAGAGCATGCAAGAGTCATTATTTATTTAAATCTATGTGTGAATATTCTTTTTATTCCCGTGTGTATATACTGTATACACACATTCATATATGTTACATGAGCCTATGTGCTCAAACCCACATTCCAGTGTCTGTTCCTGAGTTGTTTGTCTGCTCTATTCATTACCCACAGCTTCATTCTGTCAGCTATACAGATGGTCCCAGGCCTTCAATAGCAGGGCTGTACTGGGCACAGAACAAATGTGGGTTAGATCTAGATATTCCTGATGCTGGGCAACTACTTTCTAAAGTCTAGCATCTATCATGTCTAATGATCAACATGAGATTTTGAGTACTATAAGGACAAATGTCAGAGTGTAAGACGGTGAATTTGGGGTAGTGGGTGGGATTGTACAATTTTTGTTTGCCAATCTAATAAAGGTTCTCTCCTTTATTTTTTCTTTTAAATTCCTTGAGAAGATGTATATAAGGAAGGAGTATAAATGTGAGTGTAATAAGATTCCTATAAAATAACTCAAACCTAGAAGAATCTTGGGGAGATGATTAGACAGATTTTATTTACTACACATTTGGCTACTTCTCTCTCTCATTTTAAACACTAAACAAAATTTATGATGAGTGTCCCACCATAGATGTACCACTTTGACTTTGCAACATTCATAGATTTCATACCTAATACTTACAAACATTTCACATTGGCTGTCTGCTTCAGTTAATCAATATTTTATGCATCTTATCAACTAAAATTGATATTCATATATAGTCTTCCACATTTTTGTATCAATTTCAATATATAAAGTTATATCAACTATTTGTGAAGTTAAATAAAACCATAAATAAAAGCAGAATTACCCTATTGTATTTCCCCAGAGTTTTATTTTCCCTAGATTTGAGTGAATATGTTCTTTAGTCTTCCTTTAGAATATTATTTTCTCTAATTTTAAATTAAACTTACTGAGGTTTTTCCCACTTTTTTAGGCATGTTAGTCTTGATAATAGATGTGTTCCTATGGCATAAGGCCATCATAAAGTTTAATGGAAACTCAAGATATCTTTAACTATTTTTTAAAATTATTTTTTATTAAAAATGTTAATGCTCATGCTAAGAAAATCAGAAAGTATAGACTAACAAAAAGAATGTAGGAAATACAAATGATTTCTATGAAGTCAGCAATATCCATTCTTCACTCATTCAAATGTATCCTTCTAGATCTTTCTCCATGACATGTATTTTGGATAATTTAATCAAAAAGGAATTTATTAAATGGATATTAGGTCCCAAAGTTTTAGAAGTTACTGAATCTGTATATATAAAATCTTGGGTGATGACCTGTCACGCCCTGGGTCTGTCATGACCCCATCTCAAAAGTCCCTATGCTGGACTAACTGCATTGCAATTTGTGCTGTGAATAAGTCTCTACTATGTGCTCTATGGAGCCAGACACTTCTGGGTGATGCAGTACATGCTAGAATCCTATAGGGTCAGCCCATTGCTATTAAATCAGTTTCTTAGTGTGAACCAGTGTTGGGTGGAATACCATGGTGGTAAATAAGCATCAGTAAGTCTGCGAATGTTGGTGTGGGCCCAAGTTTGTTAAACAGGAAAGTAAATCCAAATGTAGAGTAAGCTGCTCTTCCAATAAGACTTTTTTGAACTTCCCTTGATATTTCAACTCAACACACATGCCCACAGGTTTGGCAGCCCATGAGAGCAACAAAAGGAGGGCTGTCCCTCCGGTGAGCCCATTGGAAGCAGCATAGAGTTCTCCAAATTAAGTGGGGGCAGTATTTTGCATTTAGCTGTGGGAATCTGACATTCAGTCCTGGGAATCTGAGATTCAGGTGCTGGCAGTGGTGGTCTGGAAAGAATCCATTTGTTTCCCTGGCCACATTTTTCCTGGCTTTGCTATATTCAAGCCTAATTCATATCAGGGACTTAAGTTTTGTTTTAACTGCTGTACAAGTAAATATCAGCAGAAGCAGTAGCCCGATCAGCCCTGGTGAGGGGAAATTCAAGTTGCTGAACCCACATATAACCTGCATTTCTGCCTCCACATGCACTTTGTTCATGAGCTCTCTGGGCAACACCAGAGTGCCCAAGGAAAGAAAAGGGCTCACATGCAGAGGATAGCTGTCTCACCTGAGTGTTGAGTGCTTCCTCTACAGTGGAGCCTTTGATGGGCCTTCACAAAAACCAAATATCCTCATGCTCTGGAGGATCCGTTCTGAGATGTCCCCTGTACACTTCTTCCATCAAACATCTTTGTCACCATCAGTCCAGTGTTCTTGATTCTTCCAAGCCTCTGGCTGCAGAGCTAAACCATTAACTACTGACCATTAGTTGGTGACATATGCACCTCAGGTCATTTCTCCTTTCAGACAAAGTGGTCAACAGGATGTAATGCTTAAAATTCTGCCTATTAGAAAATTCTCTCAGTTGCTCTTCAGGGCCTCTCTTGAGTTGGGCTATAGCAGTGTGACAGCTCACCTGTGGCTGCTGCCATTATATTATGTAGTTTCCTATTCTGTCACTTGGACTTGGAGAGTATCCCTAGGTTGGAGGTGTGGGCTCAAGAAGAACGGCAGTGTGGTCGGAGCAAGCTCACCATCCAATTTGCTGTGTCTTCAATTTCTGCTCAAGCCCAATCCCCTATAGGAAACTTCCACTTTATCATGAGAAGCAATCTAATTTGGTTATTAAACACAGAGGCCCTGGTTTCAAATCAAACTCTGCTGCTAATGAGCCATATGACGATGGGACAAATTGCTTATCCCTTCTCTGCTTCAGTTTTCTCAATTAAAGTAGGGATAATAGCAATAACGACAAGGACTATCTCCCAGAATTGTGGTGAGGATTAAAGGAAATGGTTGCAAGTAAAGTGCTTAGAACAGAGCCTGGCACGTTGTGTATACACACTAAATGTTAGCTGACTTTATGACTTAGTGGATCATATGACCCCCAGTTTACGATGGGCACCAGTCACTTGGTTACTCAATGTCTCATAATCAGGCTGCTGTATTGACTAGCACCAAGCAACAAACCAAGATTAGTCTGTCAAGAGGAGAATGGTTATATGCTACAGAGTTCATGGCTCAGCTGAAAAATCCCGGGAGCCTGTGGTCTGACCTGCCTTTCTGGATGTGCCAAAGCTCACGCGGCAGCCTGATCTGCCACAGGTGCTTCACGCACACTGGATTCACTGGATCAGGGCAAAACACTTCCTGGATTGGCCAAAAGCCTTCTCTTGCTTCAAACTGCACTCAAAGCTAGCAACCTTTCAGATTACTCAAGAAATGAGCTGAAACAGCACATCTAAATCTGGCCTCCAAAATCCAAAGAGAAGTGCAAGTAGTACATCATTGTATATTATTTCTGACACCCACAGAGAATAGATGTAAATACTTCAAGAGCATAGACTAATAAAAAGTTAATAACTAGGCAGTGATGAGGTTTAGAGTTTTTATTACCTTTGGTTTTAACATTACTTAAGTATAAAAGTTTGAATAAGGACTGTGTTACAAACCACCTAACTGAATTCCTGAAAATTTAACAATTGGTATTAGTAAGCTGGTACAGACTGTCTTGAGCACATCACTGATGGTAGAATTCAAGGCAATAGAGGATGTTAGAGGTGAAGAATGAAGAGAATTGATGACCCCCACCTCCTGCCAGGTTATTTCCACAAAGGTTGTTACAGAGTCTTTGTACAAAGCGGGAAAAGCTTCATCACAACAGGGGAAGAGAGAGAGTTACTCTGACCAGGAAGGCTGCGTTAGGTTGGGTCTGCCAAGGAGCAGGCGGCAAAATGAGATTAGATGTTCAAGAGATTTACTTGGGGGAAAGAGCAGGGGCAACAATATTAGTTTAGGATGCATGTGTGATTCCTGTGGGGGCAGAGAGGGAAGGAAGGAGCACTGGGGTAGGAAGGACCTTGCACTGCAGCACAATTCACATAAAGGTTTGACCAGGTCATTGGGGAGTCCTCAAGTCAAAGTGGCCAAGAGGAGGAGCCTCCCATCTTGCCTGACTGCGCCTGCCTTGGTACTTCTGTGCACCCAGGCACTGGCTGGGTGCAGCCCAAGAAAGCACGGCCTAGGTGCGAGGGTGGAAGATCCAGGGGGACAGCAGCTGGGTCTATCAGGCAGTCCTACTCCCACCGCAGATCTGAGTAGCCTATTTCCAAAGGCTTGGGAGTTTGGGGAACTTGAAGCTGTCTGAATCTTCCTGTATGTTCACATTTCAGCATTTAGGATCTTACTCTTTCTCAATCAATGCTCTGTCTTTACATAAAAGATCTGGCAAAACTATGAATTCAGGTGGTATTTTAACTCAGCAAATTAAAGGGTTGATTTTTTTTCTTCCTCTTTTTCTCTCCATTCAACAGCTGTGAAATTTCTTTAGAACGTCCCAAAGAATCCCTGATTTGGGGGTGGGAGGGTCTATATTTATTTTTTTTAAATGTCCACAAATTATTTGATACTTCTCTCTTCAAAACATGGTTTCTAATCCTTTTCCCCTTGAGTGTGGTCTGTATATAGGCTTGATTTTAAGGAACAGAATGTGGAAGAAATGATGAGGGGTAATTTCTAAGACTAAATAAAAAAAGACATTGTTGCTTTTCCTTGTTCTTACTTGGATCCTTCGCTCTGGGAAAGACTAGCTGACACTGTGAAGACACTCAAGCTGCCTGAGGATCAGAGCAAAGCACTGCAAAGAACTGAAGCCTTCAAATAGCCAGTGAATCAGCCATCTTGGAAGTCCAACCCCCCTGAGGCTTCAGATGAGACTGCAGCCCCTGCGGACATCCTGACTGTAACCATAGGAAGGTCCTGCGCCAGAACCACCCAGCTAAGTTGCTCCTGAATTCCTGACCCATAAAAACTGTGCTAATACTTGTTGTTTTAAACCATTACATTTATTTTCTATGCAGCAGTAGATAACTAATAGAGATTTTGGTGTCTGTAAGTGGGATACAGCTGGAACAAAAACCTAAGATGTGGAAGAGAGCGGGAGAACTGGGTTGTGGTATGAAGCTGGAAGATCTTTGAGCAGAGTGTCAGTGAAAGCAAGCTTAAGGAGATTTGAAGACACTGTTAGCAGAAGCGTCATGCACTGTGAGGAGGCTGTGGGTGAAGGCTTGCAGGGAAATGAGGTAAACGCTATAAGAAACTGGGGGAAGTGGTCTCCTTGTTATGTAATAGCAGGAAGTTTAGGTATACAGTCATTTGAAATAGCATGAAAAATAGAAAAGGTACCTAATGAGCTGAGTGGTGTAACTATGAGATTTTTATATACAGAGTGTTGAATGTAGTGCCTGTTTTCTTCTTGCTGCTTGTAGTTAAATGCAAGGGGAGATAGATAAGCTAAGAAAAGGGCAGTTTAAAAAAAAAGGAACCAAGACTTGGTGCTTTTGAAAATTCCCAGCCTCTCAGATGACAAATGATGTTTAAATTAAGAAAAGATTTTGTAGCAAAGATCAAATTCAAAAGGGCACATAAAAGGACACTTCCAGGAAACATGATCTAAACATGAATCCAAGGATGTCATTGTTAAGTCCCTTGTTAAGACCTCAGAAAGATCAAAGGTGGTGCTATTCACGTTTTGTACTATTCAGTCTACATCCATCAGAAAGGCAAATATTAGAAAGGAGATGTGGTGTTGCTGGTGGGAGAGTAAGCAAGTACTATTCAGTCACATGGAAGTCCTACTAAAATTATTAAGTGTGCCTCGCAGATTTTCTTAATGAAACAATAGAGCTTCTAAAACTGAAGGATGTTCCTCAGCAGAATCTCAAGATAGAAAAGGGCTTATCTTGAAGAGATAAGTGGTTTGGCTTTTGAATAATGGTGTGATCTCCATAAGATTCACAGGAGACCTGCAAAGTTTTTGAAGAATTAGACTGGCATGAACACTCCAGCTTGGACAAAACAGCAGGGTCTGATAAGGGGATAAGTGTATTTTGCCTCTGCTCTGGATGCCCCTGACATCACCCTTAAATGATTTCTATTTTTCCCTTCCTAATGCCCTCCCTTCCTCCCTCATTTCCTCTTTAAACCTTGTGTTAACCTTACTCCTCAGTCTTCTTTCTACTTAAAGTGAGGTCCACAGACCAGTTCAGTATCCATTGGCAACTTTGTAGAAAAGCAGAATCCCAGGCCCCACACCAGACCTACTGAATAGGAATCTGCACTTAGCAATATCTCCAGTGCTTCCTCTGCACATTAAAGTTTGAGAAGCCCTGGTTCAGAACTATTATCCTCACTGGTCTGTGTAAGGCCCTTCTCTTGTTATTTACTTATTCATTCCCTCTTTATTCCAATGCCCATTCCTATCCTTCTGGCCACCAAAGACACTCTCTTTATTGGGTTTAAGAACTGGTTTTAAATATGCATGTGTCTTTGAAACCTAAGTATTGTTCTTTTGAGTGTATATGTATTTTCACTATACATAAATGCATTGTACTAAAAAGCTTATTGCTTCTTAACTTTCAGTCACCATTATGTATTCAAGATTTAATTACATTGCTGTGTGTAGATCTAGTTCATTGTTCTAATTACTGCATTGTATTTCATAGGCTTCCACTATGTTTTACCTGGCTATTTTCCCATGATGGGCAGCTAGGTGACCTTGAACTCAACATTGCCCCAAATAACATCATGTGTCCCCTTAAAGTCTCGTAAGCATTTTCTCTGGGCCATACATGTTCCAGAGGAGGTTGCTGGGTTATGAGGTATATGCATACTTTATTTCACTGGGTCCCTGTTCTCCAGGTTGCTCGTACTTGCTTACTCCCCAACCAGCAACATCATGTGACTTTTCTGATGGATGGAGAGTTGTGTGATACCATTGTTTTAATTTGAATTTATCTAATTACCAGTGAATTTGAGGATTTCTGCATCTTTTTCCTAGCCATTTATTTATGCAACCAAAAATTACTGTGAGTACCTGCTATGTTCCAGGCATTGTACTACACACTAGCAAAAAGCATCTCCTGCCCATATTATTTTGGATCTCATGTCCTTTTTCGGGGGTCAGTTTGTAAGAGTTCATTGTATATCAACATATTAATCCCTTGTCAGTTTTAACAACACAAAAATCTTTTCCCCATCTGGATCTATCTGCTGACTTTGTCTATGGCATCTTTCATTGACCAGATAGCCTTATTTTGATGAAGTCAAGTTTTGGGCCCTCCTGTGTTATTTAATATGACACTGATAGTCTCCTGGATTTTGTCCAATTAGCTTTGTAGTTTTACTATTTACCTTTATTCCATCTGGAGTTTGTTATTTTTTGTGGTACAAAGTAGTAATCTAACTTTATGTTTCTGTATGCAGTGAACTAATTCTCCCAACACAGATTTTCCTGTTCTCAAAAGGTTTCATCATTTCACATAAGAGATCTCAGCCTTGAGTCTATTCTGGAACTAAGATGAGTCAGAGGTTTGCAAACAGTTGCAGTCAGAAAATGTCTCTGTGAAATCTGAAGCTGGGCAGCTCCAGTGTGACTGCCTAACAGAAAGGTTTGCCTGTGGTTAATATTCTGCGGAGTAGCAGGAGCCAGAGGCTTGATGGTGACAGACAGGTGCTGGGGGTAGTAAGTACATTCCTGAAATGAGGCCAGGGCTTTTGGAGAGAGGAATTATGTGGCAAGAGCAAGGCTGCAACTCACCATAAATGTCAGAACACTTCCACAGGGGTTCTCTGGTGTCCCGCATCTAGATTTGCACACCTACTTCTAAAATTTATACTTTGAAATTTGGACATGGTTTAACAGCTGTTAGGATTCAGTTCAGCTAGAGTTTCAGAGCATGGTCCTGGGAGGTCAGAATACTGGGTTCAAATCTCAGCTCAGTCACTCATCAGCTGTGAGACTGTGGGCAGAGTACTTCTCTGAGGGCAGTACATGGGATGATCCTTACAAAGTACTTAGCCTAGTGCCAGTATGTATTGGGTATTCAGTGAGTAAAGACAATAAAAGGCCTATTAGATAATACTTTGCATTTCAAGGAATACAAAGAATAAACAAAGCACCCTCAAGGAATTTTCTATTAATATGGGGATGAGATAAACCAAAGATAAGAGATCATATTGTCACAGAGAACCTTGTATTTTGCTCTAAGACAGTTATAATATGTGATCAGAGTTCAAAGGAAAGAATGACCTACCAATTTGAGGGCAGACTGGGGAGTGGGGTTGCTGGCTGGAGAAAAGTTTCATGGAAAGAAGTGGCTTTTAGGAAATGTCTAGACCAATGAGTGAAGGTTCCTATGGGAGAACCCCCTTTGGCTGGAGAGCAGATAAAGGGTAAAAGAAAGGCCTGGAGAGGTCACTGGGGACTGTCATAGATACCCTGAAGGCTACAACCGGTTGAATTTAATCTGGCAGATGGGGAGTTGCCTTCCTCCCTGCTCGAGGCCACAATTTGGAGGATTAAATCAGGAGTGGTTGCACAGTGGATCCCACCAGAGGGGAGGTGCAGAGTCGAAACAGGAAATGATTGTAGAACTTGTCACAAAATTAGGTGAGGTCTGGAGGTGGAAGGCCTTGGGGATGCCAGGGAAGGGAGAGGCCAGGACTGAACAGCAGGGCCCAGGAGAGGCCTCTCCAGAGGCGGCCTCTTCTCCCAGCACTGCTTCCACTTCCTGGACTTTCCTTAAAACCCCCACTGGATTTCCTTCCTCTCTTTCGGCTGATAAACTCCCTCTCTGCCTCCTTTGTACCTAAATTGTTTCTTATGTCCATTCTTTTCTTTTTTCATGCCTGTCCCCTCTCCTTTCACCCGAGGACAATCCTTTCAGTGTTCCTGGCCCGTGGCTGCCTCTCCCTTAAGGAATTCCCAAGAAGTATTTCCTATCCTTGTATCCTCAGTCTCAGTCTCCACTGGCTCTTTCCTGCTAACAAACCAGCCCAGGTCTTTCTTGATCTGAAAGAACTTCCCTTGGGCCATGTTTTATTCTTAAGCAACACTTCAATTTCTCCCCTACCTTTTGTCTCCAAATTTCCCAAGAGAGGGCTTCAATGTTGGACTCCATAGTCTTCATCGCATTTATACCTCAGCCTTTCAAAACTGAGCACCCAACCCCACAAACACTCCTGAGTCACTGATGATCTCGGTATGTCAAACCCAACTGTTTTTCTCAGTCATCCATCCACTTAAATTCTGCTGAGCAGCACTGCCATCCCCCCACCCACCAGTGGCTTCTTGCACTGGTTTCTGAACCTGTTTTGGAAACAAGTCTCCCGATTCTCTGATTTCTAGCTCTTCCGTCCCATCCTCTTTATGGCCCTTGCCCTGTGAACAAGGCTGCTTTGCATCATTTTGTACTCATCCTTCTGCACCAGAAGTGAGCAATTTTTTCTTGCATGAGGTTAAAGAAAAAAATATATATGTATAACTTAAAAAATATCCATCCATATTTACATTTATTTATATTGTTTAATAGAATGAGTAACAAAATGGGTGCTATATTTTAGCCCCTAAAATGTAATATCAACACATAATTGTAAGATAAACTGCAATACGGTGCCAACTTTCCAATCTTTCTTCCTGACATGCCAAGCACCGAAGCTAGGCACATCCTGATTTCCCTTTGTAACATTAATCTCTACTATAGATTTAACTGCCACCTTCCTGTGAAAAATATCCAATACCTCTTCCTAAACTACTGACAGCGCCAGTTCCATCTTCCTGCTAGTGCTTCAAATTTAACACATCACAGCATAACTCACTACCTTCTTCCCTCATCTCTATCCAATCTGTTTTCCTTTTATGTTTCTGGCTTCCTAGGCTCAAAAGGTCTTCTATACAAAGAACATTACTTTGTAACTGTATAGTGATAAACAAGGTATAGTCCATGCAGTAAGAATGTTTTTAGAATGTGTGGATGCAGACTTTTAACTATGGTAGTGTGTGTGGGGTGGGGGATGATGACGGGATATTGTTTACTTTAAAAAGCAGCAACACAGAAATCAATGAGTAAACATTTAAGTTTAGAAAAGCCAAAAGGAAGGCCAAGTAAATAATGTTCTTTAAAAATGTGTGATTAATCTGATGCAATGTAAAAAGGATTCTGAAGGGTGGGAAGAGTTATGTCATTTTCTGTTATATTTTTAATAAATGAAACAGCAATTCATAACAGCAATAAACCTTAGTCTTCTAGGTATTAGAAATGAGGACTGGGGCCTGCATTCTAGGATTTTACAGATCCTCTGGGAGGATTTATCATGAGCACATTGATAAAAAAAAAATGACCAATGAAGGAGCAACTTAAGTTATCAGTGAGGAAATAAAATGTTCCAGGATTTTCATACTATTTATAAAATTACTCTATTGACTTTAGTTTATAAAATTCAAGGACACCCTATGGCATCAAGTTTTACTTTGACAAAATGAGATAGGATAAGTCTAAATTTTCTACAAAGTTCTAAAAATGTAGATATACAAGTCGTATAAGTTAAGAACCAATTAGAAAAACAGTGCATAAAAAGAGTGTTATTTTATATAGTGACATTTATTTTCTTAAAAATATAGATTTGCTATCACTTTTTACTGTTTTCACACTCAAGATTGGTGTGATCTTAAGGCAGCCAGGATTGAGATGTGTGGGTGGTTGTCAGTGGTCTTAAACCGTACAGGTCTTTTAAAAATTCCATCATTGACTCCCTAATTAGTATAAGACATGAACCTGTCTGATGAAAGTGTAACCTCCACTTTGTGCTGAAACATGCATGTAGACTCTATATGAAGATACCAACAACGCTCCCAACTGGGGACACATGGAGTGTCTGATCAATTCACTCAACCTTTTCCTTTTGAGGGGCCACTCTGGGAATGTCCTAGGTGCCAGGAGTTCAGCAGAGAACAAAGGACAATAAACCTTGCTTCATGTAGTTTACCTTCTGGAGAGGGGGGGAAGAAATGAAACAACGAATCTATTGATTGTTTTATTTGCTAGTACACAGTGTATTAGAAGTGTTGCCCTAGTTGCTAATGAGAAAAATAAAGCCATGGAAGGGTATAGGGGGTAGGGGGTGTAATTTAAACTGGGTACAGAGCAGAGGACACTTGTGCAAAGCTCTGAAGAGAGCAAGGGAGAAGACAGAAACCTGGATGGGTACCTGTAGGAAGGATGACCCTAGGCCGGGAAGCCACTGTAGGTGGAGGAGGGAGAGAAGGTGATGGGCTCAGGATGGTCATGGGGGACAGGCCCTGCAGGATTGTTGGGGGAGGCCATTGGGAAGACATGACTGCCTGTTGACCCTCCAGCTAGACCTGAGTGAGTGGAGGTGCCTCATCCCTCCCCTGACCTTGGAATGCACATTCTGCTTGCCTTCCATTCCCAGAAGCTGCTCCAAGAATACAGCCTTGAGAAAGAAATGTGTTGAAACTATCTGGACAGCATATGTGACTGAACTAAAATACAGCTTTTAAGATTTTGTGGGGGGCAGTGGGGGTGCGGAGATTTGTTCATCTTGCTGGCTGCCTCCTTAGTAAGTTCTTTACTTACTAAAATTGCTGCTTGCCAACTGGAGCAGTCTGCCCCTTTCTCTAGTCTCTCCCAGCCTTCTGCCTAGGGCCGTTTTCAGAATACACCTGTGAAGCTCCCTAGGTGGCTGAATGCCAAGGGTCCAAAAGGTTTTTGCCACGAGCTGTAAAGCAACTAATTGGAGGGCCCCCAGCAGAGGTACAGAGGATGAGAATGTTTTAACAGGATCATTCTGGCTGCTACTTTAAAAGTAGTCTGTAGGAGTTCAAGGTTGGAAGCGCGGGTAGCAATGGGAGGAGACTGCAATAATCCAGGTGAGAGATGGGGGTGGAGACCAAGGTGGCTTGCTGTGGAGAGAAGTAGAATTCTGAACACATTTTGAAGAAAGAATGGCAGAATTTCCTACTGCCTACTCTGAGAGGAGAAAAGAGAGTGGCTGCCACGGGCAAGTAGCACGCTTGGGGAGGAAGAGTGGGAGTTAGATTTGAGTGAAGTGGGGCTGAGGTAACTATTATTAGCATCGAGGAGGAAAAGCCAAGCCAGCGACTGTGTCTTCCTCCCTTTCCTCTCCCCTCTCCCCTGTGGCTGCAGGGGTTGTGACCTGCAGGGACGGCGCCCCAGCCCTCCAGTAACTCCAGGAGCCAACGCTTGCACGCTGTCACAGGCTGCTGTCTGCGGTAGCAGTGGGCACATTTGAATGGGTTGTTTTATCAGAGGGAGCCACTTCACTAACTATTCCCAGGCGATGTTTGCTAGCTGTGGCCTCAGCTGTTGGAGATTAAGAGTGCCCAGCGTGGTTCAGGGGAGAGGCTCAAGCTGCAGACGCTAAGTGGAGAATCAGCCTCAAGTTAGTGTGTAAAGCCATCAGATCAACTGAATGAGCTTAGAAAGAAATTGTGGTTCCTAGCGCACACAGGGTTGTCTTTTGAAGATCAAATGAAACGCATAATGACCTAGCCCACAGAGAGGGATGTTTTTATTAATAAACCCAACTGCAGAGCTTGTCTCTGGGCAACATCAGTCCAGACAGAAGAGTGCGGATTTTACAACAACCACACATTGAAAAGTAGATCGAGGAAGAAGCAAGGGCTGGATGTAGTTTGGTTGATAGGCATTTATAGATGGACAGGTCTCAGTCCAATACTTTCATTTTACAGGCAGGGAGGCGGAAGCTTGTGGAGGCTAAGCGAGGCTAACTGGCAGCCGAGTGGAGCTTCCGCTATGTCTCCTGGTTTCTCCGCGCCGCGCCCCTCTGCTCCGGGCGCCCCCCACCCCAGCCCACCCGACAGTGCTACCTTTTCAGCCTGAGTCCCAACTCCGCGCGTCAGCGACCCATGTGAGCCTCTCCAGCGCTTAAGTTCCTGGAAGCTCCTGCCTCTAGCTGGCCACGCTGCTGCTGAGTGTTTATGGCGAGGAGGCGCCGAGGATCCGGGCGCAGGCAGCAGCAGGACTGGGCCTTGCGGGCAGCTGGAGAGGGAAGAAAAAGGCGGTGAAACAGAACCGGGTTTGCGCGCGACAGATGCGCGCGCTTGGCTCTTTACGCGCCCGGGACACAGTGGAACGGGAGAACCGAGTGCACGCGGCCGCTGGCGAGGGCGAGGTCGGATATAGAAGAGGGCGCTCGGGGAGTCTCCCCCCGGCCGGGGCCTGGGCTGCCGCCTCGGGGCGGGGTGTGGGGCGGGGCTGGGGAAGTTGAGTCTTAGTCGCCGAGGGCACGGCTCCGCGCAGGAGCGCCCGCCGCCCGGACCGTAAAAGGCTGGAGCGGGCGGGGTAGGTGTGGCTCTGCCTGCGCGACTTGAGCGCTGGTCTCGGTCGCCGTCGTCTCTCGAAGCCTTGAACTCTCAGCCATGGGCGCCGTCTGGTCCGCCCTGCTGGTCGGAGGAGGTCTGGCCGGAGCGCTTTTCGTTTGGCTGCTGCGGGACACGGGAAAGGACGCGGACGCGGAGCAGGAGGACGACCCTTCTGGGGAGGCTGCGGCGTCAGCGGGAGGCGATGAGGGTGCTGGCGGCGGACTGACGCCGGGACCTTCCAGCGGGGAGCTGGGTAGCAAACCAGGTAACCCTTCCTCCCCGCGTCTCGAAGGCAGATCTGCCAAGGGCCTTTGAAGCTCACCCAGGGAGGACAACCTCCCACCGGCAGCCCCCCAGCGGCCCATTCCTGCGGACTCGCTTCTCCCCCGGGGGCAGGACCCTCGCCTCACGCCCTCATTTCCCCCGGCTGCTGCGCACGCGCTGGGCAGGTCTCTCGCCCTCCGCGGAGGCCCTGCAGATCCGGCCCGAGCGTCCACGGGCCGCGCCCCGGCCGAACCGGCCCCTGCCCCTGGGGTGGGGCTCCTCCGCAGGGCTGCGCGTGGCGCAGTGCGGGCGCTGCGGCGGCGGCGGCGCCCCTTCTGGGCCTTCGGGGAGGAATGCTTAAATTTAGGGGCATCTGACCACCCTGTTCAGTTTCTGACGGAGCTGCAACACTTTCTCAGTCCCAATTCCATCGCCTCATGTCCTCCCATCCCCCACCCCACGTAAGAGCTGGGTTTGGGAGCACCTCCCCGCTGTCTGGACGCTTCTGTCAGGAAGGCAAAGTTCAGGTTGAACTCTGGCCACGAAGGCCTCTCTAAGCCTGGGGCTGTATCCTGGCCGCCCCTATGCTCACCCGAACAGCTGGGTTGTCCAATGTTCTCGGAAGGGATGTACTTACTAGGGGACCCAACTCCCATGAGTAGAACTGACTTCTAGGTTTTAATCTACATTTTAGAGACTGTATGCTAGGCAAAGCGAGAACACTGGCAGAAAACTGTACCTTCCAGTGCCCTCCCTTGGTCTGCTTCCTCTCCTGGACTCCAGCCTGACGGTGAAAATGACATCTGTGAACTTTATTTTTAGTGGAGTGGTTTGGCTGCTGCGGGGCATGGGAGTGGAGTGGTGTTCATGTTTAGTCACTTGAAAATCTAGCTCCCCATGCCTTTTCTGCAATTGGTTTGGGATGATCAGGAAGCTCATTTATCTTCCTTTTCTGAAATCCAGCCTCATGCTTTAGACTGAAAGAATTCAGAGTAATGTTTGTCTCACTTGCAGCACCTCGCCCCCCATTAAAGAGACAATTAAAAAGACACCACTCACTCCCCAAAAACTAAAAACCCTATCTGTGCTGATTGAGTGATTTTGGAGATTTCCATCTTGTAGGAGCTATTTAGACTAACAATTAGGTGGCCAAGAAGGAAACCAAATCTTTAGGGAGCTTGGATTGTGTACTTGAAAAACATTCTTAAAAGTGTACAGTGGGAGAATATGTAGAACACCTGTTTTGTTGAAACGTTCCCCATACACATGGGGTTGGCAAGCAGAACCCAGCCCTCTCCCGTGACACTCACCACCACCTTTTGCCCGCTGATGCCCTGCTGTTCTTTGTATTCGCTCACAGCGACAGCTGCTGCCTGCCTGCACCTGTGAGAGTGATCCCTGGGCTGCAGGAAGTTCCTGGGAGGCCAGGTGTACTCATCTGATTTGTAGGTTAGCCATGCAGCTCTTCACCCCACAGGCTGGACAACACTTTCTGATGATAGGAGCCAAGCAACTTGACTTGGCTGCAAGCCTGTATAGCCTGGCCTGCAGATGGAGGACCAGGACAGGGTTACACTTCTGCCTCCTCCCTAACCTGCCATTTCATTTGCACTCTTGTGCTGGTACACTGACACTCTTGGGTGTGCCTTTTATAATTCCATACAGGCGTTTATTCAGTTAGTGCCAGAACTAGGTAATTAAGTACTTGAGATTAGTAGAGATAGATTTTGTAAACTGCAGATAAATTAGTGGTATAGTCTTCAATAACTAAACCTATTTTCTCAGCCTTTCTTACT